TAATTATGATTAGTGTAAGTTCATGAATCTTGGTTATCATAATAGAAATTACACATAAAATTTATATGGAGGTCTCTTAATCAAATAGATGAGGATCTTTAGATATTTGTTGATATAATTCTTAAGCCTTCATGACTATGATCAATTACAAGTGGTAAAGCTAATAAAAGTTTAAGCTCTTTGTATACGGATATTAACAACAAAAGGTCATGGTTTCGTTGGATAAAGCATTAGTAAGGCCATATTTGAAGCATAAAGTGTAGTTTTGACCCCCTCATCTTTGGAACAAATTTGAGTTTTTGGAGATGTAAGATGATTCTAGGATTTGATGGATTGTCATGTAAGAGTAGATTGACATCTTTTAACTTGCTCTTTCTTAAAAAGAGAAAAACAAAAATATTATATAAGTGAAATTTTTAGAGTATTCAAAATATTTAAGTGGATTGGTTAGATGCATACATCAGATATTTTCATGTTGAATATCTGAGAGCAGTAAAAAACAGTTCATATATTTGAGATTTGGAAAGGTCAAATACATTACCAATTTCATTTATCCAACACCGTTAAACTTTGTGGAACAAATTTAGGTCTACAGTAGTTAAAGGATGGTACTTTCAGAAGATTAAGAAAACGACTGGTGAACATTTGAGGTATTATAGCCTGTATTTAGTGACTAGTTTTTTATATATTGATGGGTCGTGAATTTGGGACAACCTTGAAGTGCCAAAAGGCTTCTTGATGCCATATAATATGTAAAATTCAACCGTTGTCATATATCAGCTCAACCTGGTAAAGATGTATACCCAGGAACTTCTTTCTGACCCTAGCACTTAGGAACAAAATACTCTGTTATGGATCAAACTCTAATGATGTCACGTGGTGCATGAGGTGTACGCCTTATGGGTTTCCTATAATACAACACAGAATGTGACTGGTATTGTCAATGTTGCTTAGAGATAAGTATAGTGGGTTAATACTGGCAATATCAGCCATATAATGGATGACCAACTGGTACCGTGTTACATTATAGGTAAGCACAGCATCCTACTATACTTATCTCTAAGCAATACTGGCAATATCAGCCATATAATGGATGACCAATGGTACCGTGTTACATTATAGGTAAGCACAGCACTTAGAGGTAAGTATAGTGGGTTGCTGTGCTTACCTATAATGTAACACGGTGCCACTTGGTCATCCATTATATGGCTGATATTGCCAGTATTGCTTAGAGGTAAGTATAGTAGGATGTTGTGCTTATTTATGTTGTTGAATTGGTTATATACTACGTATACGGTTTTTACAGTCACCAGAACACGTCCCTGTTTTTCTCAGTGACCCAGGAGCGGCCCGTGTTTAATAAAACTGATGAGGATTGAGATTTTGCTGACTAGAATGATGCACGTGGTGCAGATGAATAATTAAATGTACAATAATTAGTGCAGAAAATATTATTGATTACCATATAGGCCCGCAAGCTAGTAACCTCAATTCTGCGAACTATCAAGCACTCGACTGGCAATCTACGGGTCGCGAGATCAAATCCCGTCACCGAACGTGCTCGCCCTTTCAGCCTAGAGACGTTAAATAATGTGACGGTCAATCTCACTTTCCGTTGGTAAAAAGGATAGCCCAAGAGTTGGCGGCGGGTGGTATTGACAAGCTGCCTTCCCTCTAGTCTATCATTTCTAACTTACAAATGGCTAGTGTAGATAGCTCTCAAATAGTTGTGTGCGAAATACATTAAGCAAATAAAATAATATATCATGAGCACTTTATCGCTCGCTACACATACATCATACGAACTATTTAGGTCTTTATTGGCACTCATTCTTTGAATGAACTTGATTTTATTATGAAATAAAAAGGATGTCACAATAACTTTAATTTTCTGTTTATTTATTGATTAAAGTTCAAAGCTTCAACAAAGATCATTTACTTTTTATCTATATATTTAAATGTATAAGTGGAAACACAAGCACGAAAATTAAATGTATCATAAATTCGTAGACTTAAAGGAGCACAATGTTCCATTTCAACATATGCAAAACATTGATGAATGATGTTTTCTTATAGCCAGGCCCCTCAGTGGTACAGCGCTACGTCTGAGGACTTATAACGCTAGAAACCGGGTTTCGATACTTGTGGTGGGCAGAGTACAGATAACCCATTGTGTAGCTTTATGCTTAACTTCAAACAAACAAACAAAACTTACGACCAGGAACAGAACTAAATAATTCCCTAAAAAATCATTACAATTATGGTAACTCTGTTGGTTTTTCGTTATTTATCTACATAAGCTGATGTTACCGAACACGACTCTAATAAGTCTTTGTTACTCACTTTAAATCAGCGTTGTACTTTCTACTGTGTTACTGAATATGATTCTATCCCCGGTGTTATCAAACAAGACTCTAATTAGCCTGTGTTACTCGCTTCATTTCGACTACGGTGTTATCTAACATAACTCTAATAGGTCATCAGCTTAAACCACTTATCTTTCAATCCCGTTTCGAGGTCCTAGGGTCTATAAAATAACGATGGGAATCTGTTGAAAGACGTCTTTTCGTACTTATACTGGAAGTTCTACTCCCGTAATACTTTGATGATACTTCTATGTTCAATAGGTGCAATGTGAAATTTCCGTATGCTAATTACGCATAAATGTATAAAGTCGCAGTACAAATGTACAGGATAAACCAATCAGCGAGCAATATTTTGTAAACAAGGAAATGTCGTAGTCGTGTCCATAAATACCCTGGGAGCTCAAAACATTCACCATGTTCAGGCCAAAACCGACCAAAAAGTCGAACTTGCGGTGTTGTAAGCAGTAAAACAAAACCATTTACAGCCTCCCAGTGGGAAAGTATAGAATCTGTTTGTGGAAATGGCTCAATTTAGACATTGAATGTCACGACATTGCAACTTCTAATATATAGTTCGAGTCCGTGGATTTCACTGACATTCACTCAGAAGTAGGACATCATCTTTCTTGCTGTCGTCCATTCAATGACAAAATATCATTTGAACTGAGTAAGGAAATGTGTAGAAGACATGCATCAACATCCGCGTTTCAGGGTGAATCTCTATTCCCAACTGTCTGTATCATTTGTAAAAAAAATAACTCGGTTCATTACACAACGACGTTAGACCCCAAAGAATGTATTGGTCGAAACCCTGACTTTCAGTGCAGGGGAGTCTGTTGTCACTTTTATTATTATTATTATCATTACTAGTGAATATCTCGTTATATTATAGTCTAGAGTCACACTGGCAAAAAGGCATATCATTTAAAATTCAGAATGACATAAATTGAAACATAAGTCAAAATAATAAAAAGGAATTTAAGTGCGTGTTTTTTTTACACAAACAGACGTGTATATATACACACACACACATAGATAATAAAGATAAAAAATATTTACATAAGTTTCAAAATAATGACACAACTGAAATTATGTTATGTACAGTAAAAAGTAACTTCGGAAATTTATTGGTGGGAAGAGAAATAATTGGAATTGCTCATTTGGCATTCATATATAGGTGGACTAGGAAGCTGCATCACCTTCCCTGTATAAGACCTTGCTACTACATTTGGACATTCTTACATAGGCGGACTAGGAAGTTGCATCACCTTCCCTGTATAAGGCCATGCTACTACATTTGGACATTCATATATAGGTGGGTTAGTGAAGTTGCATCACCTTCCCTGTATAAGACCTTGCTACTACATTTGGACATTCTTACATAGGCGGACTAGGAAGTTGCATCATCTTCCCTGTATAAGGCCTTGCTACTACATTTGGACATTCTTATATAGGTGGACTAGTGAAGTTTTATCACCTTCCCTGTATAAGGCGTTGCTACTACATTTGGACATTCTTATATAGGTGGACTAGTGAAGTTTTATCACCTTC